TATGTTGAACATAAACATGATTATCCCAGGGGGGAGGGGTAGATGTAGATAGGTGTGTATGTTGAACATAAACATGATTATCCCAGGGGGGAAGGGTAGATGTAGGTAGGTGTGTATGTTGAACATAAACATGATTATCCCAGGGGGGAGGGGTAGATGTAGGTAGGTTTGTATGTTGAACATAAACATGATTATCCCAGGGGGGAGGGGTAGATGTAGATAGGTGTGTATGTATGTATGTGTTCCACCCAAACGTTGATCCCTTGTGTTGTCGTCTTTAGAGGGTATTCTCATTCCTTCACCATACTATGGTGGGTTTGATGCTGATCTGTCCATCAGAGCACAAGCCGTACCATTTCCTGTCTATCTTTCTAGCAAGGTAGGTTACTCCATTCAGTTATATCTCACGTCTAAGGTCTTTGGTTTGATTGCTGGACTTGTTGAAAATGGTAAGGTCTCTCATTTCTTCATCTTTTCCTCACTATCTAGAAGGGGTGCCAAATAGTCCTGAGACATAACAGGGTCTTGTAAAACTTTCTTTAAGTTTGTATGTCTTGCTTTTCTCATTGCTGTCTCCAAGTCTCATTTTCCCCTTTGGGATTCATTGTCTCAGCCTCAAATTTCAAAATAAGGCTCTCATGGTCTTGCAAAGTCACTTTTTGATACTAGTGTTCTATCACATATATACTACTAGTACCTCAGCCAATCAGAGCACAGCATTTGTGATAGACCATTAGAATATTTATACCATAACCTGTTATACTTAATATTTTTCCAGCCTCGACCAGGACAAACCCAACCTTTTGAACTGACAGTTGATCAACTGGAGAGAGCAATGAAAGATGCTAAAGAGCAGGTTTGTTCCACACAGGGAGCCAATGATCATTATTATACGTGCTAAACAGGAGCCAAGATAGAAACATATCCAAGATGAGATCCACTTGATATCTTTGTACTACAGCATTATTATATATTGCCTTATTTTAATAGACCATTTTTATATGGGGGGGG